GACTTCCGTAGTAAGTTCGTTCTAATTGGTCAATATTAACGGTCAATTGGTTGGTCCACGGTTTACAATCTCACAATATTAATTACATTCATTATAATTATAAAAATTTAATAATATAAACTAGCTTATTTTTTATTTTAAAAAAATCAGTACCGAATAATGCAGTATCATGTAATTTCCTTGGTGGATGGATTACAAGTGAATTATAAGCATCAGTTATCATTAAAGAAGGTTGACTTAAAGCATCTAAAACAACACCATTACTATGCAAAACAGCTCCATCTAAATGTCTACATTTAAGGACATTTTATACATCTTTCAATAAAAATTATAATGATATTATTCATGTATATACATATACATGTATATATATATGTGTGTATCAAATGATATTTAACAACCTTTCTTTCTTATGATTATAGTCAACTGCATATACAATCTCTTCAGTGCCCTTTTTTATCTCCCAAATTGTTCCATCAAAGTGTGTCCAGCAGAATAAGCAGTGATTGTTATAAGTCAGTGTGCAAATCCTAAAAATTAAGGGGCAGGTCGTTTTGCCAGAAATTTTGGCTGATCAACATTGAAATTTTACTAATACAGTCAAGTATTTTACCAAATTTGGAAATCGATTCTAGAAAAATTGGAACCCCCTTGTTGATCAATTCATATATGTTACAAACGATTTAATGTGACATGTTGTGCTTTGTGAAAAATAAAATTTTTAAAAAAAAAAAAATAATAATAATAATATTAACTTGAAATTTGGACAATCAACTATCAACATCAGACCTGTTGAAAAATCAGAATCAATCAGATTCTTGGGTGTTTGGATAAATTATAATGGGCAAAAGAAATTTGTACATGACCAGATTTTGACTGAAATCACTAAATCCTGTAGAATAATGTTAAGAAAACCTCTTACAGATAAGCAACTAATATACATTTTTAATAAAGTCATTGTGCCAAAAATCGAATATCAAGCACAATCATCCATTCTCAATAAGAATGAATGCTCTAAATTGATGTCTGCTTTCAGAATCTGTTTTAAGAAAAAATTACACATTAGTTCAAAAACAACAAATATTATCACACAATGTAAAAATATTTATGATATAATCGACCTATTTGATTTACAACAAAGAGTACAAATTAATAATCTAATGATACAATTGAATGATAAATCCATACTTGGAAAAATAACTGATATAAAATTAAAACAATTACAACTACAACTCTGGCTTCCAATATCTCCTTTAATCAGGAAAGATGCTCCTTTTAAAAAAATAAAACATAATATAATTGCATCAACATTAAGTTTAATTGAAGATTCTCCCTTTACATTTGCACCTTCAGACAAAAGTAAAATTCAAGGAGGCATTTCACCCCTAATAGACATATTTGGACAAACATACTTTCAATATATCAAGTTGTTAAAAAAACACAATTTTATGTTTTTGGATCAATTAATTTCACATGATAATACTCACTTCTTAAATCGAAGGGATTTAGCAATTAGATATGAGAACTATAGAAATTCTGGAAAAAAGGACCCAAAATGGTTTCAGAAATTAAAACAAATAATTTTAGAGGATGCTACAATTTCATGTAAACTCAAATCATCTTTCATCTTATCATCAACAAATTATATCCCACTCAAAATTAAACCACCAAATATGAATAATAATTCCAAAGAATGGGTGGCTATTTGGAACAATAAAATACAAGACATAATTCTTGGGAAAATACACAAAAAAGACCTTTTTAACAACAAGATTTTAGTTGAGCACTGGATATTAAATTCTCACAACACTAGCACATTAACAACAATAACAAAATGTCAAGGATGCCCCTGTCACATACCAATCAAAAAGTACGAACATACAATAACATTTTTATGCAATGACTGGTACAACTACAAAAATGCTAGCACTTTCAAGGCAAAAAAAGTTAATAGAGCAACAGACCTTTATGAAGTTATTGAATCAATTTTCGAAATCAAGGCCAAATCAAAAAAGGGATTTCTTAATAACTCTTTTCCCTCAAATATAGTTAATTGTAGTATAACACCAAAAGCACTACCTATAAATATTAAACTAATAAATACTTATATAAAAAACAACATTTGTAAATCAAAATTAATAGAGTCTAGTGAACTGTATAAGAACTCAAGAGAACTGGTTTTTTATACAGATGGCTCCCTCAAAGATCTGGGTACACCAAACACGAAAATGGGTTTAGGCTGGTCCCAAATAAATGACAATTATGAAAAATCAACTTTTTCAGCATCAATAACTAATCTACCATCATCTACACATGCAGAAATTGCAGCAATTTTAACAGCTTTACTAGTTTCTCCTAACAATTGTCACGTAACCATATTCAGTGATAGTGAAAATACAATACAAGCATTTTGCAAAATCATGTCAAAAAATGAACATATCACTTTCAGGAAACTCATCAAGGAAAAAAATTATTTAATGTGGTTTTTAATTAAAGATATAATAGAACAACTTAATTTAAAAGTTTATCTCAAAAAAGTTAAAGCTCATAGTAATAATCTTCGCAATGAGGAGGCTGACAAATTGGCAAAAACAGGCTTAAAATCAGAACCCCTAAATATAAATTATGAAAATATCCCATTTTTAAACTATCAACCAACCTTTGATAATATAAGAATTGAAACATCTTTAAGACATTTTATAAAAAGATGCACAGAGGCAAAAAATTTTGAAATTTGGACCAAGAAAAATATAAACAAAAAATACAATGTTTCAAAAGAACTAAATATAAATTGGCCATTTACTTGGTGTATACTAAACAACAATAACCAATCAAACAATGAAACTTCATTCATATCAAGTCATATCAAGGCATTTAAAATTAAAAAATTAATTGAAGCACTACCTACAATTGAAATTTTAAAAGCAAGGAGACCTGACATATATGATAAAAATTGGTTATGTTGTGTTTGCAACAATGAAAAGGAAAATTTTAATCATATCTGGTTATGTTTCCAACAAAGAGATATCCTGAAAAACATTATCAACAACACAATAAAACAAATATCCACTCAAATGAAACAGTTAAACAATAATTTTAATGAAGCTATCCTTTGAGAAAAAGATTATTGGCAGATAAACCAAAATAACAACCAACTAAACATTCTGGATATAATCAAAGGCTTAGTTCCAAATGATTTAGTCAAAACTTTGCTAATTTATGTAAACAAAGAAAAGAAAATCCAATCTATTTTGATAGAAGCTCTAAATACAATGAATAATCTCTTAAGAGATCAAATTTGGAAACAGCATTGCTCTAAAACAGTTGAGATAGAACTTCAATTTGGTATTAATAAACAAAATAAAAGGAAAGCTAATAATAGTAATATTGATAATAATAATACTATTAACAACAATAATATCAATAACAACAGTATAAATATGGATAATAATCACAATAATAAAATAAATAAAAAAAAGAAAATACCATCAGAAAATTGGAAAATTTGGATGGTAAATAATATCAAATATGGACAGAACATACAATTAATGTAATAGTGACATTTTGCTAATCCTTTTCTGTTTGGAAGTGTGGTTACTTTATATTAAATGTTAAATTCCATTATGGACTAACAGCCACATGGAAAGAAAGGGAGGTGAATAGTCGGCCCAACCAATCTGATATAAATCAGATATGGGGGGTAATTATTTGTTTATGTTTTTTATCTGTTATTTTATAAATGTAATTGATAATATAAATTTAATAAACATAATAATACAACTACATCATTAAAAATAAAAAAATAAAAAAAAAAAATAATAATAATAATAATTGAAATAGGTACTTCCGAATATATATTTTAAGAATCCACCAGATCCACGCAACCTTACAAACTAGTTTTTTTTTTTAATACATAGGAGAAATATTGACTAAAACATATCTCTTTTTTTTTTTTACAAAATTGATTCTATCCCTTAAATGGTTAATCGGCTATTGATAGCCAATAAAATTTTTCTGATATTTTTTCTGAGGGCATCACTTCCTAATACAAAAATGATCTTTGAGATTCAGCCGATTAATCTATAAATAAAAATCCAGTTGTTGTCCTTGTGGTTTTTGTAAAATCTTCTTTAAAAGTTGGTTGATTGACTGTTTTTACTTTGCTGATCATTAAATTGACCAATAATGATCAAAACTTTAATTTGTGTTACCATTAAAGAATACTCTGACTGTTTAAGAGATACTGACAGCTGTTATACCAACTCAGTTATACCGACAGAATGTTTTACTGACAGGACATTATACCAACAAGACATTATACCAACAGGACGTTATACTGACAGGACATTATACTGACAAGTCATTTCATAGTGCAATTAATCAATCTAGCCATCTAATAAATGGCTTAACCACTTAAACAGCCTAGCTGTCTAATAAATGGTTTAACAGACTTGAACAGCTTAGCCAGCTAATAAATGGTTTGACAGACTTAAACAGATTAGCTGGCTAATCAGCTAACATCATCAGATATATTAATATATATTATATATGCTGTTTCTTAATTTTAACAGATAATGATAATGAACTGATATGGTTATAGTAGGAAAACAAAGAAATACAGTCAACCCCTCTAAGTGCACCCTCCTTGGGAACATATCAATATTTCTCATGAATGTGCATTTAGAGAGGATGTGCATTTAGAGGGGATAATTTTATAAGCTCACTAGAAGTTTGGAGAGGGTTTACATAGTGAGTGCATTTAGAGAGGGTGCACTTAGAGGGGTTGACTGTATTATGCTAAATTGATAGAATATATTAGAAAATGACTTGTTGGTATAATGTCCTATTGGTATAATGTCTTGTCAGTATAATGTCCTGTTGGTAAAACATCCTGTTGATATAACAGAGTTGGTATAATGTCTGTTGGTTGATCAGGGTAAACCCAAGATTTCCAGCTGAAACTCTCTTTATTAGTAGCTGAAATTGCTGAAACACTTTGGGCAAAAATTACTTTTTTATAAGCCCAAACTATTTTTTGTTATTAGCCAGAATTGGGCAAAATTACTTTAAAGTTGTTTAAGTTAAAATAAGTTGATTGGTATAGTTTTTAATGTTCATGTTTATAAAAAATGCTGAGAAGTCCAAATTGCCCAAACTAGTTTGGGCTTTGAGAAAACAGTTTGGACCAGAAACCTTAATTTAAATGATTGATCATTTTAAAAAATAACTTGAAAATAATTCTACAAAGTAATACATTTAATTAAGATAAATTAGGATTTCAAAGAAATCGGGGAGTTGGATGGTAGAACCTTTAACATGTATAAATAATGCTGTAATTTTCTCAACTTCATGCATGCATCATCTTCATCTTTATCATCATCATAATAATAATTTAATAAATAACACTGTCCTTAACCTTGTCCTTGTCCTTGTTATAGTCTTTGAATTATATTTTTATAATGATAATAAATCTATCTCTAACAATGAATTCATACTAATCCCAAGCATAATAAATTTTCTCTTATTTTGTATTTGTTTAATTTTTTTATTATTTTTTATTTTTTTCCTTTCTTTTAATGAGGTTATATTTAATGGATTTTATTTAGTAGTTTTTATATATGTGCCTGACTTGGCAGTAAAGAGGATAACAGCTAGAAGGACACCCACCAAGAAATATGATCAGGATATCTAAAGATATTATTTAGTATTTCTTGTTGTAAGGAATTGTTTGATGATAGCAAAAAATAGTTTTGAGAGTAAAGCATAAATATGCATTCATGGAAATTGTTGTTATGATTTAGTATAAATAAATTGTATTAACATTGTTGGCATATTATTATTATAAATAAAATATTGAGATTTACTGTGAGGCACAGATTTTTATCTCACAATGATCATTTTTATTATTATTATTTATAGTGTTTATAGATGATAAAAATGTTAAAACAGTATATATAAATGTTGAATATAAAAATACTAATAAAATAATAAATAAATAATACTAAATGATGATAAGAGACATGGTAATAGGTTGGTTGTTGTATCCACCAATTGTCCAGTTAATTGTGTGTTGAAAATTTTCACTGGATTTTGAATTTTATTGACCGACTGATTATTCAGGTGTTGAGCTTTATTATTATTGATTGACCAAGTACTCAAATACCCAGATAACCAATGGATACATCACTATGATAGGTCACTTCAATCATAAAAAGGGTTTGCTTTAATTTAAAATAGATAGCATATAATCATTAAAAAATTTTTTTTTGATCATAATAAAAAAACTAATGTGAAAATTTCAATAATCAGATAAATAAAATTTATTCTGGTATAGTTAATTCAATTTGTTTAGAATCTGACA